ATGTCCTAACAAACCTTATCAGAATAATTCTAAAAGTAGTGCTTGCTTTCATCTATCTTTCTGTCCATCCATCCATTCATCCATCCACCCATCCAATCAATAAATTAGTTTATATCTACAGTATATTCACCTATATTCTTGTAACTGATGGCCATGCTGTACATCTTTCCCCACATACTCAAACTGTGTGTTCTGACTGACAGTGGGAAAGTGAGTGGGCAGGGTGACAGTTTTCTGGCCATTACCTGTGTGTGATAAATTGCTTAGTAATCTCTATAGCACCATCGTGCATACGTTGAGAGTGTTTAGGGCATTGTAACTTGGGAGAATTTCCAATCTTTCATAAATGACCATTAATCTGTCCTTTTTACATTCAGCTTTCCACATCTGTTTCAAATCGTTCAGTGCTATTCCAGGAGTGCATTAAAGCTCCAATCCAGGTATATTAAGGGGATAAATGAGCCACAGGGAAAAGACACTGTATTTTTCTTAAAGCAATTCTTTCTCCTTTTTACGAAGTTAGGAGCCAAGCAATTTATGATTAAGATTTTTGGAGGATATTCTCTGTCATTTTAAGCTATCCTTGTCTCTGGGTTTAAAAATGAGGTTTTAGCTCTGGCATCCTAGCGTACATTAATGTTTTTCTCTGTACAGGTAGATTGTGAATATCATTTCAACCAGAAAATCTAAAGTAGTTTTAATTCATTATGATTCGCTGTGGATTCTTACTGAAGAAAAATGAGGAATAGTTAAAACCTAAGGTCAGTTAGAAATAAATAAGTGCCTGAGTATGCATTTATATTTGTGATGTTCAGGAACTTCAGAGAAACTTGTCAGTCATTTTAGTTTGCTACATTTTGTACAGGAAGCAATTTGCTTTTCAGGAAAAAAATGCATTATTATTTTATGAATTATAAGTTAATATTGCTTTGTGTCTGCTCTAATCTATTTAATGAATATTAAAAAGATGCATCTTTTCTCACCATATACAATGTATAACCTATTTTCTCAGGTACTTTCCAAATAAAGTATTTTCATAACAGTGACCCAACCTGTACTGTTAGATTTGCAAAAGTCCCATCACATAATACAGAGAAGCCTTGCAGAATAAATGCATATAAAGGTAGTACTCTATGGTATATCAGATGACACATAAGTATGAAAGTGAAACGTTTTCAAGTTGACCTTGAAGGTGTTAAGGGACTCACAGAACAAATATCAGACAGGAGGATAACTAAAAGATGATTCCCTATCTCTGGCATTTGTAATAGGCATATAAAGGATGACAGGCTGATTATCTGACCAAGAATAAAATGCCCACACAGGAATGTAAAGAAGGAGGAAATTCAGTTACAAGTCTCTCATCAAGGTTAGTAAAAATGTCAGATAGATTATCACATAAAGTACACTGAATCTCTGGCTTTGAAGATGGCTTATTTCCCAGTTACAGTCTGTAGTCCTGTCTATGTGCAGGGAATTGACAGCTGCTCCACCCATTAGCATTGATGAAATTACCAACCTGCATCCCACACGCATCCACCAAGGAACCAAAGACACCCCTCCTACGCACTACTTTGTTTTGAATCCTCCAAATGTTGTAAGATGGCTATTTCCTTAATAAGCTGAAATTATTAAATACGGCATGTATTATCTCCTGTAGCTAAAACTGATATCTCATAGGAATTAGTGAGGAATTGTAATCATCCGTTAAGGTTGGTTGAATTATTTCTCACCTCTTTGTCATCTAAGGAATGCCTTGTGACCATTAAGGAGATGTGACCTACACTGCTAGGGCATTTCATTGAGGATAAAGCAATTCAGAATGACCTTGGCAGCCTGCTTAGTGAAAATTTTGTGCTCTTGAAAGACCTCTGATAGTGTTCTTGTAGTGAGGTGAGAAAGAAAAAAATGGTTTTCAATACGATGACCATGTGTACTGGTTTACCTAGAACAATTTGAATTTGCACCTTTTGTCCCAGTGTAGTTATTAATTACTACTCCTTTACTCTCAAAATATCCTGGTTTGGATGGACAATTAACTATGGGTTCACCTGGTTTATGGCATTTCTTTTACAACCATGTCCCTTTCCTCCACTGTCTAGGATGATTTCAGTTCCCATTTATGCCTTTTATGTGGAACACTTGGTTCTACTAAGGAAGAAAGAAAATAAATCTATGCCAGTCCATACACCTTCATAAATTATAAAATTCATTATACTTTCTCCTACTCTTTCATTCTTTCTGTCCTCGGCTCCCTTCTGTTTTGTGACATTGCATTCCCTGATGCAGTTCTTACATAAAATGTCAGAGACAAGTCAAAGAATGTCACTATATGGATACTTTCATATAGCAACAGGAAGCTTAATGCTTTTCAGTGCTTGTCTATATAAAAAAAAGTGCAATGTACAGTCATAGGTCACTTAATGATGGGGATATGTTCTGAGAAATGCACCATTGTGCAAACGTCATAGAGTGTAGTTACACAAACTTAGATGGTATGGCCTACTACATACCTAGACAATTTGGTGTGGTCTATTGCTCCTAGGCTACCAACCTGCAGGGCATGTTACTGTACTGAATACTTTAGGCAGTTGCAACACAGTATTAAGTATTTGTGTATCTAAACATAGGAAAGGTAGAGTAAAAATATGGTATTATAATCTTACGGGACCATCATTGACCAAAACATTGTTCTGTAGTGCATTACCATATTTTATTCTTTTTAATGAAGAGGAATTTAGGATCAAGTTACTCATTAACATGAAAATATCAGATTTAGAGATACCTCAATTAGAAACATTTACTAAGTACTGATTATGTGTCCAACATTCTGTTAAACATTATGTATCTGGAGTCTGTTTCTCCTCCTCCAGTCCCTTTCTTTATCATGGTACCAATTCCCTAATGAGATTCTCACCTCCAAAAGTTATGCCCATCAATAACCCATCTTCCACACTGATGTCAGTTTAATTCTTCTAAAATATACAACACCGTCAGTGAAGTATCATCACCAATGATAAAATTCAGATATTGTCAAACTGGTTCCTTCTCAGGAACCTTTTAGCTTTATTTTCCACTATTCTTTTTGATGAGTCTTATGCGTGTATACAGAGGTGGGGTTAGAACTTCTGAGTTTAAATTCTGGCTCTGGTACTTGTGTGCTCTGTGACCATGGGCAAATCATTTATCTTCTCTGTGTCTTAATTTTCTCATCTATGAGGTGGGGATAGTAATCTGATCTACCATAAAGGATCTTTGTAGGCATTAAATGAAACTCTCAGAACAGTGTCTGGCATACAGTAAGGGTTCAATAAATATTAGCCATTATTAGACTCTATGTAAAGGGAATTATTTGCATTCCCTATGCATATCCTGTAATTCTTGCCCCTGTGCCTTCCTCATGCTACATTTTGTTTCTAGAATGTTCTCTTCCATTTCTGCCTCCATTTATTTAAACTATACATATTTCACAATCATGTGCCACCTCCTCTGTGTCACTTTCAAGCAAGCCCCAAATAGTTAATCTATTCTTTTAATTTCCATAGCTTTTCCTCTGTACTTCTCTAATAGTATTTAGCCCTTTCTACCTTATATATATATATATATATATATATATACACACACATATACACACACACATATATATGTATTAAATATATATATCTTTGCTTTCAAAATGGGGGGAAACAGGAACTGTTTTATGAATTTTTATACTTTCCTCAATGTCTAACCAAATTAATATTAGATACTATATTTGTTGAGTAAATGAATAGATATTCCACTTGTCCACATACTTTTTCACTGATATGCAAGTGCAGAGCAATTTTAGAGCCTTGTCAAAATCAATATCTTCTTATTGATTGGTTATTTACTTGATCTCCCCCTGTCCTAAAACCCCCTTTCCTCTTCTCCTCTCCCCTGCCTCTTCCCCACCTATGACCCTTACCTCTTTACTAGACTTCCCCATCTATTTTTCATCCTCCTCCCCCATTTCCTTTTTTCTCCTCTTCCTCCTCCTTATCCTTCTGAGAAGAAGGGGTTTTATGATCATTTTTTGTTATTCATCTTGGTGAAAAATAGTTGTGTGCATAGCATTCAATCAATGCTATATACTCCTTGAGGTACTGAGAAGCAAGCAATTGTTAAATAGCAAATAAAAATACACCTGCTCTGTGGACAAATAGAAATAATCTCAGAAGAACTTTGTGATTACATGTTCTAATGGTTGCCATATGTTTGCCATAGTTTGTCTTTCTGGAAAAGGGGAAACATTTGTATGGCTGGCATCATGAGAATTTTTTAAAGAGGAGTTTGACCAAGGGTCTCCAAGAACAAATTCTTAAGTATTTTTTTGTCCATTTTGTGTTTAGCTTTGCCTGTTATTCTGTTAGTTTCTTCCTTCTTCTCTCATTTACAGTGCCATTTTGAATTATAATCCTGCTGTCCAATATCTTAACTGTCTTCTTCTCTTAATCAGTATCTTATTTTCTCCTAAATCTGAAAATCATCTGAAATTTATATCATGCTGTTTTCCATTTCCATGTCTTGAAATATCTCTTGTCTTGTTAGAGAAATGTTCTCATATGTTCTGTTAGACAGGCCAATAGTATTCATTTAAATTAAATTCTTAATTAATAATGTGCTTGCACAAAACCAATATGATCTACTTATAGTAATGCATATAAAATTGAAACATAGTATATGCTATTATCTCTGTATAGGATTGAGAGATGTAAGGCTAACAAAATTAAAAGGTAGATTGAAAATTAAACTTGAATTGTAACCATGACCTAAAACCATGTGTAAAGTTTAACAATTAAGAAAACTGTCTCTGCTTTTTCTTCCTTTCCTGAGCCATAGGAAGTTGATGCTCAGGACTGGTTATAACACGGAAATAATTCTAAGGATCCTAAGTAACAGCACCATGTATGTGGTATTATGGGACTTTCATTTGCAGTGATTTTGTTCTCAACATTGGTATTTTTCTTTTCCTAACTTAGGGTAGAAATTTAGCATCTGGAGAGGTTGGATTTTTTCCAAGTGATGCTGTCAAGCCTTCCCCATGCGTAAGTGCTAGTATTTTATTTCTTTCTTGTTTTGTTTTTGATATTAATTGTATAAGAAGCTATGAAGGATACTGGCCAGGTTGCTCATTCATTTTATTAATATTTTCTGGAGGGATCATATTCTTTCTAACACTATTATGATTCCATTGTCAGAAAATATTTTTAAATGTTAAGGAAATAAATGCAAGAGGCAAATTTCACTTAGTAGAATTTACAAAATTAAGTTTTCTGTAAGTTTTTAGGAGAAATAACCAAGATTACAGATTAGATGCATTATACAAGTTTCCTTTTTCCCACTGAGATGAGAATGGTACCGTCTAATCTACTCCCAGTCACTTGGGTTACAGGATAATATTATACTTCAACTGGTGTCTTTGAAAGCATGCTAGAAAGTGAAAAGTCCACAAATTCTTTAATTGAATCTCTAAATACATTTCTATGCTTCAGTGTGTCATTACTGTTTATTAATGTCATAATAAAATTTTCTGAAAATATCAAACACAGATAAAAAGAGAATAAATGGACATTTATGTTCAAATAATATTATGAGTGAATATAACATAAAAGGTACTCTCTGATGCATTATGATATTGATAAATTTATCTAAAGTGACATGATTTTAGCATCATAATTTTATATTTAAGGTAGCTTTTCCCCCCAAACTTTGTAAGTTATTGACTCCAAAGACAATGAAATTCCTTTACTAATATGATGGAGATGATTACCTGAAAGAAAAAAAAAAGCCTCCTTAAACTATCCTGCTTGCTATATTTCAGTAGTTCCTGAATTTGATATTCTTTTTAATGTTATAAATATGAATGTCTGCCATCCTTGATTTCAGAATGTAGTCTGTGAGATAACTTACTCTACTCGTTGGAACTTAGTTATTTTCAAAAGCAAAGAAAATTAAAAAAAAACATTTGCTTTTCTGTTGGTTCTGTGATCTAATGTCACATTTTTAAATGTTAGATTATATTATCTGGAAAAATTATTGAAATCTGATACCACCTTTATTAGATAAGCAAAAGTAATTTGTTGGCTCATTTGTCATTTTATGAATGAGATTCAGGCTTTCTATCTGTAAAGCAGTCATGTTTATCTGTAAGCAGGTGGCACGAGATTAAACATTCTAACATTAAGGTGTTTGTGAACTGCAAGCCTTCAAATGACGAATATTAAGCATTTCATATACCAAGTACTGTTTTCTGTTTACAGCCTCTTGACTATAAACATAAAATGAGCATTTGAGCTTTCATTTTAGGGATAGTCTGGCACAAAATAGGTGTTTAATAAATTACTGTTGAATGAATGGACAAAGGGTTGAAAAAGTAAATGAAAGTCCTTAGCTGTATATAGACAATTAAGAATGATAGATATGAATCAAATCATCTTATAGAAGCACATCGAATGATATTTGGTGACTCAATAAGTGGCTAGAAGGAGAAATATGTTCAGAAATTTTAAGATGATTAAAAAGTTACAGAGTAATGCATAATGATGGTAGAATTCCAGCTAAATATGGTTGTTGTTATAGCTTAAAGTTAATAATAGCTATTAAAATTTTATAGCTTAATGAAATTATAGGTTTATTTGTTAATTATAGGAAAAGCTAAGTGAAGGGTAAGTAGAAGGAGGGGATAGGTTGAAGGAGTTTGGAAAATGGTATCACTTTTGAGCCTGGGATACATTGTTTATCAGAGGGCTGTGAGCAGTGCTAAATATTCCATTCTGAGCTTACAAATTATTCTCCTATATATCCTGTGCCTATCTCCTCAAAAATTCTGAGGTATTCAGGTAGGAACCTAGAACTAAGGAAGACACAGGCAGTACATAAATGAGATAATTTCACTTCTCTAATATGGTGACTAGAGACCAAGTCTGGAGCTACAGCACAGTGCAAACTTGGGTGTACCTCTGTGATTCCAGGAGCCCTCAGTGGTGAACTAGGAAAAAAAATCCATACCACAGAAGATATGCCTACCTTGGTGGTGAATCTGGGTTGGGTAGAGAAAAAGAAAGCCTTCTCCCCTGGGAATTTCTAACCTTAAAACCCAAAGCACCCAGAAATCGGGTTAGAATTTATACCAGCTCTATGACTCAAATAATCTAAGCTAGAAATATAGTTTAAAGTGATTCCACATTGATTGTTCCCCCAGTGAAAATATAAATCCTCCCTGGACTGGAGCCTATTTACACAGATAAGGTCCCAGGAGACATAAATTCACAATTTGGAATCATTAAATTCATGATGAAACAAACCACTTAGAGCTAAGGTTAGTAGAAATAATAAAATATAATAGAATGAGGCACAAAAAACAGCAGATATTGGAATTATTAGATACTAAATTCAATATTTTATATTTAATATGGTTGAAGGAATTTAAAAATGGGATAAAAACTGAAAGGAGAACAAAACACTATCCAATTGGGTATATTTCAAAAAGATTCAGGCATAGTAATTGAAATGAAAGCCTTTGTGAACACATTACATGGCATATCAGACACTGTTGTATAGAAAATTGCAAGAAAAATCTGAAGAAATTTCTCAGAACAGTTCAGAGAGATTAAGAAATGGAAAACGTAACAAAATATGAAGTGATGAAATTCAAATACATCTACAGAAAAAGAGAATAGAAGTAATTATGGAAGCAATAATCAGACGATGACTAAGAACTTTCCAGAATCTATGATAAAACTAATCTTCAGAGTCAAGAAGAGTATATTCAAATTAATAAGTACCTCAATGCATTTTAATAAAACTTCAGGACATTAAAGACAAAATTAAAACTCTAAGCTGAGAGAAAAAACAGATTGCTGATAAAAGGTTGATTATTAGACTCATAGCTAACGACAGCAGTAAGGGAAGCAACATGAGTTTCTACTTCACTTCTAGTAATTGTCAAGTAGCTCCTATTGGACCAGTTCTCCCAGAGGATTATGGGGGACAACTATAAGCTGTGGATAAAACACCAAAACAAAACAAAAACAGAAACAATTATCTAAAGGCACTGGCTAAGAGAAGAACTGACATTTGGCAAAGGAATGATATTAGGGGAGTTTTCTGGTTTTATGGCAAGCACTAGAGATTGTACCTTGTGGGGTGGCTAAAATTCAGGTAGAAACCTTATAGTATTTATGGCTTGAAGAACCAGAATATAGAGTTTAAAGCAACCACAACAGCTGAAAAGGGAGGTAGGAAATCTTAGAAAGGAAAGAGTCAGAGAGGGCAAACCTCAAATTCTGTATATAAACTCTACCCAAGTCTCCCGCTGAGTAGTACAGACTCCAAGCACCTCAGCTTAGGCAAAAAGAATTCAGCTGCCTCTTAACACAGGAGACACAAAGTTAACTGCTTGCTTTAAGAAAAGCCACACTCTTTGCTGGAACATAACAGAATCCAGAGCTTCTGTGGTATACCACTCAAATTGTCCAAAATACAATTAAAATTTTAGTCAATATACAAAGAAACAGGAAAATGTGAACCATACTCATTAGAAAAGAAAATGATAAGAGATCAATCCTGAAATGTCCCAAATGATGAATTAGCAGGGAAGAATTTTAAAAGCAATGATTGTATAACTGTGCTTAAGGACACACAAAAATAAAAAAAGAACCAAATGGAAATTCTAGAATGTGAAGCTACAATATATGAAACAATAATATGTTGAAAGTTTGAAAGAAAATTAGTTAGCTTAGAAATTTGTCTTTCCTAAATAAGGATGAAATAATGACATTTCTAGCCAAACACAGAGAAAGTTCACTTTAAAGTGTCCCATCTAACTTTATAAGATGTACTTCCTGAAGTAGCATATATATAATACATGTATATATGTATACATATATATCATCTTGTATGCATTCCATATTTGCCAAAAAAATATTTTTTAGAATTATATATGTATAGCAGAAATTTAACAATGTAAACTCACTATGGCAAAGGCAGAAAATGGCATTAAGGAAAAATAGTAACAACATTCTCAAAGACAAGACAGTACCCAGAAGGAAATCATCGGTAGTCTTAAATAGGAAGCATCTTGCCAAAATATGAAGAGAAGTAGAGAGGACCCATGACAGATGGAAAAGGATGGAACCCCACCCTAGTTATGGGGATCATAACTCAGGAGGTAGTCCTGGATCTTCACATGCCAGAATATACCCACTGAGAAGAGGAAAATCTCCACTAGGACATTTCAGGATGGAATAGACAGTTATCTGTTCTGCTTTAGAATTTTATGTCATTCTTTCTTTTTTTATTCCTATTATTTGAATCTCCAGACTTTTATCAGCCAAGGGAATCCACAGCTAGAATATGATGAAGTTCTTTATCCTCCTCTTCCTATTTTTTCTTTCTCTGTGGAGAGAAAGGTTGGTGTAGGAATAAACATACAATAGTCTTTTAAAGAAAAAAGAGAGGAAGAGGGAAAGAGAAATGATTTTTCCCATCAGATTTCTGAAGCCATGTATCTTATCATCAAAAGGGAGATGTCAAAGATCAAATTTCTATTTTTGAAAACAAAATGATGTTAAGAAAATATTTGCAAGATTAGAATGGGTATAATTTATCTTTAATATTAATTGCTGTGTACCAGGATTTTACAAAGTGATGATGGTAAAAATGTGATCCATAGGATAAAAATATTTAAATGTTAGTAATCAAAGGAAAGTTCTAAGAAAGATAATTTTTGATACAGTTTGAGTATCTCTAATCCTAAAATTAAAAATCCAAAATGCTATAACATCAAAAACTTTTGAGAGCTGACATGACATTCAAAGGAAATGTTCATTGGAGCATTTTATGTTTGGGGTTTTTGGATTAGGGATGCTGAATTTACCACACATATTCCAAAATCTCAAAAAAAAAAAATCTGAAATCAGAAACATTTATGTTCCCATGCATTTCAGATAAGGTATACTCGCCTGTATATAACTCTTAACCTGGAAGGGCAAAATAGTAACAGCCCATTATGAAAACTGGCATAAATAGAGACATACTCACATTGACCAGATCTTTGAAATACTATAGTTTTTTACTATTACAAATGATGGTGAGAGTATTTTAAATCACCTGTTATAAAAGTCCCAGGAAAATCATAAAATGCATATATCAAAGACTTGGATGATTCATGAAAATTTTCTAAACACAAGACAGACTACCTGTAATCCCAGCCTTTTTTTTAGGAATTTATAAACTTGTACCCTTGTCTACAATATGTATTTTGTTATTTTTTGAACATTAGTATACCTTCTTTGGCTTTGTTCGTTTTTAGTTGACTATCAGCCACCAGGAATTTTCTTTCTTTATTTGAATAGAAGTTGAAATATTTTTTTCTTGTGCAAAGCTCTGTATGAGAAAAGGGAAAATGAATATTTTCCATGACTTTTTCTTGAATAAAAGGTTTCTAGTTGATAGATTTAAAAATCAGAGTTTGGAACTTACGTTACAAAATAAAAGTGTACATCCAATGTATATTGTTTATTTTGCATCTTTTCCCAATGTCTTGGGAAAGCGAAGTACTATTTGGTTTTCTTAATAACATTTTCATTTTAATTTTCTATGATAGGATTAAATTTGCCTTGATAATATATATTAAAATCTTCTAGTTCATATTTTCCTGCTCTCTCTCTCCTTAGAGTTACAGTGGCAGTAAAATGAATGAAAGAATGAATTAAAGTGAAATGAATTATTTTTTACTTATCTGACATATACTATGATTCACTCTGTATAAAATTGCCAATGGATAGTTCCAGGACTGTGCTACTTAGGGTTTTATAGAGCTGAGTCAGCTGAACTGAATTAATGATTGATTTCTAAAAGCTTCCCTTAAGTAAACTTAATCTATTTTTGCCTTTTTATATTCTAGGTGCCCAAACCAGTAGATTATTCTTGCCAACCCTGGTAAGTATTAAAAATGTTTATGTAGCTAAGTTGAAATACCATACCCTTAGCTCCAGGATGCCTTAAATGTGGGGGTAGTAAACCACATTCCATTTCCATTTGTCTTGGCTAAAGGTGTTTTCAGATGTAACAAAACACCATAATGAATTCACATATTGCTGACCTTTCCATATCTTTATCAGAGAGGGGTATGTGTGTGTATGTGTATATGTGTGTGTGTGTGTGTGTGTGTGTGTGTGTGTGTATGTATGTGTATGAGGGCCCTTGACCTTAAATTCAAAGTTTATAACAGTCACAGAAATGAATGGGACATAGGCATATGTATTTTATATTTCTTGTATTTTAGAAAGGTAGACTTCATGAAGCAGATAGGAAAAAAATACATATTATTTCATTGTCTAAAACTAAAATTTAGCTCATAAAGGACAGTAGTAGATACTAAAAATGTAATTTGCAATGTGTGATTTGGGAGCAGCAAGATATATCCATCTGTAAGTTTTGGGTCTGGATGGAGCATACTTTCCACTTGGAGGCTGGCATTATCATTAACAAAACCAAGGAAATAAAGTCATTAGTGATTATTATTTCCTAGCTATCTTCAACTGTAAAAAATATATTCATGATCTGGAATAGTTATGAGTATCATCTCATACTACTAATATATACTGAGTATTTACTATGTATTTAGTACTTTATATGTTTTATTTCATTTTTTAAAATATTTTTATAAGGAAGGTTGTTATCGTTGTTATTCTTATGGGTGAAGAAACAAAGATTAAAGCCACACAACTAGTTACTGGTAGAACCAGAATTCTAAGTTATGCCATGTGTACATTGCTATACAGCTCTCCAAAATACAAAATGTGGGCATATTACTCATGTATATTTGTTTCTCTGAATTTTGTGTTTGACATCTCTTAAAGTGACTGACTGTTTTTATTTTCTTGTTATTAAAGTATATACATGCAAATAGCAGAATATGTATATAATGAAATATCCCGAGAATATACTAGTTCAGTTTGCAAGTGTATATACCACCTGAATTGTCAAATTTTTTAAAAAAATATTCTGATTGTTTTGCATTCTATGACTAAAACATGGAACATGCCAGGTTGCTTTTCAATGTGCAGGAATCTGTTGCTCAAGGTATGGGTTCCCCTCCTCAGAGCCCCCTGTGGCCCCCAGCAGGCTCTTGGGCCTTCTTGTACCCCTCTGATGTCCCTCCCTGGGCCTCAGCACTGAGCTTGCTGAGGAAATTGTAGCAGGTTTGTGATAGAGCTGGGAATCTTTGCTTCATTTTTACCTGATATAAGACAAATTCAAGGTCTTATTAGTTTCTGTGGACTTTTAAATCATATCCTGACAGGAATTAAATTTGGAGATTAGAGCTGATAGCATTGACAGTCAAACTGAAAAACATCAAGAACTGGCAATAATCGTGAAAGTGCAATGATTAGGTTCCTTCTCTTTTCTTTTATTACCATGTTCATGTAACTAGGCATTACAGTTACAGGGCTAATGCTTTTAGAGATAAATACTAATGCCACAAACTACATGGATTTTATGAAATAAACTGATCAGGTACCTGAGAACCATTCAGAGCACACGAGGGTAGCTTTTGTGCCCTTTGTTTTAAAATGCACCCTTCCAATATGTAAAATTCTAGTGAAAATGGGACCAGTTAGAACAATATTATTCTTAATGATGAAAAATCAAGATGGTCAGACTAAGGAAGAGCTTTGAAAATAAGAAGAAATCAAGATATTTTATGGTAGAGTTTTAAAATTACTTTCTTTTCCTTTGATAGTTTATTCAAAATAAGCAGGCAGTTTCATGTGAAATATCTTCTGCTAGGGAACAAAATGATCAACTACACCAGAAAATGGAATCTTCAAGTTTAGGAATACTACCCTGTTTAGAGACAATTACACTGAATGATGGCATGGTAGTCCTCAACTCACTTATCTATTCATTATTTCCACATTTAAAAGTAAGTTGTTCCCACAAGGTAAATTTTGTCTTTTATATAGACCGTGAAATAAAATAGAAAATCAAGATTATTATCTTTAATAATCTATGCTAATGGGTGTCAGAAGGCAAGGGTAGGAGGTATAAGGCTGAAAACTGGGGAACCATCTGAAAATCTGTGTGTAGAACAGGAGGTAGATGCCAGGGTCCCTGCCATCCCCACCTGGTAATCAGTGTTTTCTTTCCTACACTGGCAGGAGACTCTGGTGTTAGAAGGTATATTATGTGGAAAAGTGGAATCATCTAGGGCCTGGACTTGGGAAGACCAGGCCTAACAGAGATTAGGGAGATGCCATACTGAGAAAAGAGGGGTTAAATTAAGAGAAGTCTATTTATGGAATGATGCTAATCCCCAGTACATTTGTGTAGTTGGGTCTCACACATACTGCCCTCTTCTTGCATCCAGACAGGAACTTGAAAGTTTTTTCTAAAGAAACTGAATAGACACAGAGTAAAAAAAATCTAAAATCCTAACACTTTGGGTGCCCAATTATGAGGTTCTTGCCAAATGACCAGGCTCCTACCCAACGGACCTACCCTGGTACCTATGCACACAGATACCTTCCAGTTGGTTCTTGGGTGCCTCCTTCCTAAATATGAGTAAATAGCAAAGGGTCACCACCTATTTGAGGAAGACCTTGAACTACACAACAAATAAAGTAAGTGGGCAAAAGAAACTTGAAGAAAATAGACATTAGAGTGGGCAGAAGAATTTTTTTTAAAAAAACCCTTTTATTTACTCCTTAAGAGAAGACATCACATCAGTGGACGTGAGCTGGGTATTTTACAAAATGAACAATCAGAATAAGAGCTCTTATAAATTAAATATTGTAGAAAAGTTGGAAAATAAAGTTGAACAAATCTTCTAAAAGTCAAAGAGAAAGGTAATATGGGAGATGAGTTATCGAAACTAGATTATTGACCTAGGAAGTACAGCATTCTACTAGTAAGAGTTTCAGAAAGAGAAAACAGAGGGCAACAATTATCAAGAAATAGTACAAAAATTCCTCAGAACTGAAGGAAAATGTGGCTTCAAATTGAAGATGATACTGAAAGCCCAGGGCAAGATAAGAAAGCACATTATCATGAAAGTTTTCAGTATGGAGAAGGCAAAAGGAATCTGAAAGTTTCTAGGGAGAAAAAAAATCAAGTTACATACAAAGGCTCAGAAATGGCATTGAATAGAAGTTAGAAGATAGTGGAGCAATGCTTTAATATTTGAGAGGCAAAATAATTTCTCACCTAAGAACTCTTTACCCAGCCGAACTACGAATTGTTAGGTAAGATAAAATATTTTCATAGATGTGGGCCTTCAGAGTATTATATCCCCGGTATCCATTTATAAAAAGCTGGAGGGATGAGCTAGTAAACCTAGAAGAAGGAGATACAGAATTTAAGAAAGGGCAGCAAAGAGAAGTCCCAGGACTACAGTAACTCAGCAGGCTTAGGGAACAAGCAATATCAATACACCAAGAGAGTGGAGGGGTTAGAAGAAAAACCTCCACAGAAAAATTAACAGATAGATTACATGGTTGTCTTAGTCTATTTTCTACTGCTACAGATTGAGTATCCCTTGTTTGAAATGCTTGGAACCAGAAGTGTATTGTATTTCAGGTTTTTTTAGATTTTGGAGTATTTGCATATACATAATGAGATATCATGGGGATGAGAGCCAAGTCTAAACACAAAATTCATTTATGTTTCGTGTACACCTAACACACATAACCTGAAGATAATTTTATATAATATTTTAGCTTTGTGCATGAAGTAAAGTTTTTACTGCATTTTGAATGAAACCTGCATTTTTCACTTGTGGAGTCATGTCAGTACTCAAAAAGTTTCAAATTTTGGAAGATTTCAGATATTCATATTAGGGATGCTCAACTGTATAACAGAATACCGCAGACTGCGTAATTTATTTTAAAAAAAGAGATTTATTTGACCCATGGTTTTAAAGGCTGGGAAGTCCAAGATCAAGAGGCTGCATCTCGTTAGAGCCTTCGTGCTATATCATAACACTGGGAGGCAGTGCACTCAAGAGACAGAGAAAGGAAGAACCTAACCCATCCTTCGTATCAGATACCCACTCTCTAGATAACTAACCACTCCTGCAATAAAGGCATTAACCATTCATGAGGGTATAGCCCTCATGACCTAATCCCCTCTTAAAGGTCTCAGCTCCCAATACTGTTACAATGGCAGTTCAGTTTCAATATGAATTTTGGAGGGGACATGCAAACCATAGCAGTGGTGTTGAAAAAGGTATTATTGGGTGGTTTATTTGGATAATTTGGAAAGAATTTGTGATAGAGACAAAGAACTTGAGCAAACTAAAACACATAATAAGCAATTACATTTTGGAGGTCAGATATTCTTTGAATGTGCTAAGACTGGGCCCAACGATGGCTTAGGTTTGCAGAGGTTACAGAAAGAAGAGTGAGTAGCAGCACTATGAAGGACTGAGCATAGGTAGCTGGGGGGGGAAATGATTTTCTTTCCTTATGTCTAAAATTGATAAGAAATTGTAGTATAATCATGTTATTTAGGAATGTACAAAGTAGAAAGAAGAAAAAAATAGCTAAAATATTTGAAATGAAACTTGGAGTAGAATGCTGGTATGATGGATTACTGCTACTTTTTCATTATAATCATAGTTCAAGTTGACTTTTTGAACTATGTTCATGCATGACTTTGATAAAAATGCATGCACTACACACTAATTGTGATGAGTGCCATGAAAACAGGGGTAGTGTGATGGAGTAGGTAATGCGACATGCAGGATAGCATTCTTTCGATGGCATGGTCAGACAAGACTCCTGTCTAAACCTGAATGATGAGAAGTAATTGTGTGTTGATAGAGGTGGGTGTTTCCAGATAACAGTACAGTCTGTGAGAAGACTCTAGGCTGGAAAGGAGCTTGATGAATTCCTGGACCTGAAAGAAGGCTGGAGACTGGCGTGATGAAGGGGGTTGTAAGACACAAGGTTGAAGAGAGGTAGGCATGAGTCAGATCAACCTAGGTCCTGATGGTTTATGAGTTGCTGTAACTTTTCTTTTAAACCAAGGTACCATCTGCATAAACACCCAAACTCGTCTTTTATACTTGATGGAAACCTAATGTGCCTCACTCAATAAGCTTTTATCAAATGTCTACTTTGTGCATTTTAAATAAATATTTAGTTTAGACTAGAGGTGGATTTTTTTTTTTTTTTTGAGACAAGATCTCACTCTGCCACCCAGGCTGGAATGCAGTGGCATCATCATCATAGCTCACAGCAACCTCAAACTCCTGGGCTCAAGCAGTCCTCCTGCCTCAGCCTCCCTAGTAGCTGGGACTATAGGTATGCACCACCATGCACAGCTGATTTTTCTATTTTTTGTAGAGACAGGATCTTTCTCTTGCTCAGGCAGGTTTCAAACTCCTGACCTCAAGTGATTCTCCTGCCTTGGCCTCCCGGAGTGCTAGGATTACAGGCGTGAGCCACCATATCCAGCCTAGAGGTGGATATTTATACTGAGTTATGTGAGCCTGTTTGCGAATCAGAGAATATCCTGGAATATTATTAATTCTTGAATAGCTTTGAAAGAGAGCCAATCTAAACATAGCATTTTTCCTTTAACTTCTAGTACCCAAAATCCCTGATATATTTTGCCAGCAGATGTTACACCTATATTTGATGTGAGGAGTCATTAAAGAGTATTTTAACATTGAATTTAGGCCTTTTATTATTGTAGTTATTTTTATTATTATGGCGTTTGGGTATGTTTAGGTCACCATAGTCTAGGAAAAATCAAATATTCTGGTTTTCAAAAATATCTACCTTTTAAAAATAAAGTTTACTTACTAATTTTTTTTCTTTTTCTTTTTCTTTTTTTTTTTTTTTTTTGAGACAGAGTCTCAGTCTGTCGCCCAAGCTAGAGTGCAGTGGCATCATCATAGCTCACTGCAACCTCAAACTCCTGGGCTCAAGCAATTCTGCTGCCTCAGCCTCCCAAGTATCTGGGACTATAGGTGTTTGTCACCATAACTGGCTAATTTTTCTATTTTTTATAGAGACAGGGGTCTTGCTCTTGCTGAGGGTGGTCTTGAACTCCTGAGCTTAAGCAATCTTCTTATCTCAGCCTCCCAAAGTGCTAGGATTACAGGCCACTGTGTCTGGCCTCACTATTTCTAATTTCTTAAGAAAATTGGTTATCTAAATTGGGGACTATAAGAAATAATCTTATATACAAAAGTATTTAAAAATAATTTCAATTGTTACTAGAATTTTCTTTAATAAGATGCTTAAAGAATATTCCATTTCACAGTATACATAAAAAGGGAAAGAGTGTGTGTGTGTGTGTGTGTGTGTGTGTGTGTGTGTGTGTGTGTGTGTGTGTGTGTGTGTCTGTCTGTCTGTCTTGTCTGTCTTATGTAGGGTAGTCCCTTCCTGCAAGTCTTTTACCCTCTTGTCCCTAAATTCCTCACAACTGTCTCAGCCAATACCTACTGACTCTTCTTTATCCCATTTATTTCTTTGATAAATATTTACTGAGTGCTTACTGTGTATTAGGCACTGTTCACTTTGTTGTTAGCTTTGTGGAGCATTTTTATTTGGATATATTAAAATATTTTTTCCTGAATTATTTTTCTTAAGCAATGTAATTAGTATAGAAGTAAAAACAATTCAGATCTGCCACTAAATTAAAATCCTGATAGATACTTATTTTTAGCCTCTGTTTTCTTCCAGGTACATTATCCAGATTTTCTGTGTCATTGTTTCTTACAGGTATGCTGGAGCAATGGAAAGATTGCAAGCAGAGACTGAACTTATTAATAGGGTAAATAGTACTTACCTTGTGAGGCACAGGACCAAAGAGTCAGGAGAATATGCAATTAGCATTAAGTAAGTAGGACAAGTACTTTTACAGAAATAGATTTCCTGTTTTCATAATTGCATAGACCATCTGACATATATAACACTAAAGTTGAAAACCCAAGTTCTAATTGCAGCAGAAATAATGCATCTATCCAGACAGTTCATTAATACTTGAAAATATCTGTTAGAAAAACAGTAATAAGTGTTATAGGCTGCTAATTGGCATATTAGATTTCTTTCATAATATTGTATTTTGGTGATTTGATGTATGTATATTTCTAGTAAGTTCTAAGGGTATAAATTACTAGATTTTATTTTGCTTTTCTACATTCTCAAACCGAACTTACAAAATGAATCGAGCATAATGATTAATTAAATCCAACCCCCCTTCTCACTTCAAATATTGGTTGTATCTTCAACCAATCTAGTAAATATATTTTGTTAATTAGCTGCCACCAGTGTATTGGCATAGGTATATATTTTCTCTTCAGAATTAATTCCTATAATGTTATTGGGGCATGCCCTCTGGTAATTATTGATTTCTACTGATTAAAAACACATTTATATTCATAAGTTATTCATTGCCCACAGGTACAATAATGAAGCAAAGCACATCAAGATTTTAACAAGAGATGGCTTTTTTCACATTGCAGAAAATAGAAAATTTAAAAGTTTAATGGTAAGCATTGATTATTTCTTTTCAATCTGTGATCCCTATTTTTCTCTTGTTAGAAAGGTCAGTTTAATTCTATAGTTTCTTGGAAATTTTGCTCACTGAAAAGTTATTTAAAGAGAATCATACTTTGCAGCATATATAACTTTGCAGCAGAATCCTGAAAATTATAATTTTAAGAACTACAATTAAGTTTTATATTACTCAAATCTTATTTTTCATTGTAAACTAAGTTTGCAAATGTTAGATAATACTTCAGAGTCTATACTATTTAAGACTCTTAGAGCAATGACTGATAGAAATATAAAAATAATCAATTTCCAATTATTGGTGTGAGTTTTTGGCTTGTGTTTGAATGACACACAGCAAATTTTTAATGTGTCTTTCTTTCCTCTTCTTCCTTCCATTGCCTGTATCTCCTCATTGAAACAGAGAAAGGTATTTTTAATTATAACATGAAACATTATAATTAGTAAAATACCTCTCAGATTTACGTTCATTTCATACAAAATGCAATATAAAGTTAAAGATTTTCATATTTTCTATTTTAAATGATCTCTATTGTGGTTCTCATTCATTACCTTGGACAATTAAGTAGTGACAAGGTAACATTTTTGCCATACAATGTTAATATTTCATAGGAATTTTACATTTAAATGGAAATAGTATATTGTCAAATTGCTTCAAATGATAAAGGATTATTTGATTAAAAATTTCCACAAATTTTAAAACATTGTAACTTAACTCCATTAGCACTTAAGAATATTGTGTATATGTCATATAAACGATGCATAAATGCCATCATATATGCATCTCAAGTCTATTCTCACATTTGGTAGTTTCTTGAGATAATGATGAATCTGGATACAGGACATAAGATGCATTTGTAGCTGCTAAGTACTTTGAATAATAATATAATCATTCATTGATTGAACCATCATTCAAATGATACACGCTGCATCCTTCCAGAAAATATCTCAAAGCACTTTGCAGATGTTAACAATAAAGTTAAAAAACTACACATAAGAAAGCCTTACTAAAGAGGACAGCCTGAATGCCTTATCTAAAAATTTACAACTGCTTCAAGACAGGGATCAGTGTTTTAAAGAAATCGAAGCATCTCGAGTTGAAAGAAAAATAAGAAAACCTCTCTGGACATAAATGCCACCTTCCCAATTCAAAAGCTAAGGATGGGCAGCAAGGTCATGTGCTGGAAATTGCAAACTCTGTCAAATTGGTAACCAAGATCTAGGCATCCTCCCTGCTGGATGTGACTTGCATTCTGTTGAAACAAGCAGGCTGCGCACAGAGAGAATTGGACCAGAGGAGGTTCTTCATAAAATGAAAACCTAGGAGAGAGGTGGCAAGTGGATGCACAAATAATGAGTGACAGATGCAGCCGAAACGTGATTAAAGCACGCACAGGGACTCTCCACGTCTCTGCAAGACACAGCAGCTTGAGCTTGCAGCACTTCCTTGGATGGTAATGAGGCTGCTCCATCGTGTTATAGTTAATATGAGAGTTAAAAAAAACACTGCAGGGCCAAAGATGCCTACCAGCCTTACAGATTTTGAAAGTAGCAAGGGTAACTCCCATCAGAGAAGACAAGCAAGGAGGACGACAGGAATAGTCACTGCAAAAGGGCCAGTCAGTTTAGCTTTGTGTTACCTGGGTTCAGCTCAAGGAAGTTCTTTAGCAGCTAAGGTTAGATGTGAAAAGCCAGAAATACCACAGTGACCTCGATTAGTAGACATAGATCCTTGAGTTCCTATCTGCATATAAGGCTGTGATTATAGTAAAAGCCATAGAGACCCAAGAATTCAAATAACTTTGCACCAGAGAGCAGTAAAAGTTTTTGCAGTGATGTTCTAGAAAAGGAATTATTCCAGAATTCCTTGTCATAGGGCTAGAATAAGCTGCCCTTACATGGTATATATAGATCTCAGCAATGCTACCATTAGAGACACATGAATATATTTTTTCTCCATTATCTGAGGATCTTTTGTAAAGAAACACGTATCACAGTGTGTTAGAGGAAAGGGATTAAGAATTAACAGTAAAATTACAATGAAACTAAGAAACTTTAGCAAAAGGATATAATTGTGAAAGAAAGAAAAACATGGAGCTGAAAAAAAAATCTCAGTATCAGAAAAGTACTTTTGTCAGATTTAGCTAATAACTGTAAAGTTTGCTGAAGAGGCAGCTGAACTAGTTTGGAGCTGACCTTTCTTTTTGTTTCTGTTTATTTGTTGAGAAAATTTATATTGAGTCCTTACTATATGAAATCACTGGTTTTTGGAGGATTCAAAAAGAACTTAACCATTCTAAAAAAAGCTGACACATTAGTAAATACATCTGTACCAAGAACCTCACAAGAGTTCGGTCCTTTGAACCTAGGCTGGGAGATGCCACAGGGATATTTGGTCAGAAGGAATGGCTCGTGTTTCAGTAACCAGACCTTTTGGAAGGAAGTAGAAAGTTAATAGGTGTAGGGAGGGGTTTTTTTAAAATCCAGGATCATGCAACCTCCAGTAGTCACCTTTTCCCATATTGGTGTCAGCTAGCACAGTTCCCATTGCAAGTAAGTAGTGGTCTGTGGACTTGAGTTGTTTCTTAAGGATAGTTCAATGTCCTTCTATTATTGGTGCTGAAGTTATACTCTTCTACCTCTGAAATGCGGTAGGCCCTGGAACTAAATTTTAATGTGGAAAAGGCGTAAAATACAAGCGAACTCCAGAGCTTGTTTTAAATTCACCAGTTTCTCCTAGGGAAGATCGGCCGTAGGTGGTTATAACCTAACCCCTTTCCCCTGGGTTTCAATAGCTCGGTTAATCAAAATCTTTGTTTTTCTTAGTCATTAAATTCAAATCCTAAATGGATTTCTGTATCCCGATTACAAGGCATTAATTTTGTTCTAATTTTCATGTATGCCAGGCAATCCATGTCCAAATGCGGTTTATAAACTGTCTCCATTGCCTGTTTCCTTGGTAATTGGAACGACTGGCTCTCACTCATTATTTTTCACAGAGACTTGAATTGTTGACACTGCTGTGTCAGTGTGAGATAAGAAAAGCTTAGCGATTTCTTTTGTTTAGAGTCTTCTTATTTACTTGTTGTACCTGAAGGTCAATGACTGCTAAAGCAAGGGTGGATTAGACTAAAACACGGAAGGCATAAAGGCATGAATTGGAAAAGATCCATGGTGGCACTATTTAATTCTACCCCTTAGAAACATGTAGGGAGATTTACCCTCATAAGACTGTAAAAATGGAACTGAAATCTCTTCCAGGCTTAGAGAAGTGATGAGTATTTTGCAGTTTGCTAAGCCACATGACCCTAGGCCTAGAAAGTTATTTTTTTCTTCCATAAAATTTGGAGGTGGGTGGATATCAAATGATCACCAAATCCCTTTTCAGTATGATAATTCTCTGGTTTCAAGCCAACTTCACATAAACTTTAATTCACAGCAATTCATAGCAAAATTCATAAAATTCACATCACTTATAGCAAAGTTACATTTAAGTTCAAAGCTATTGACTTATAATTCCTTTCAGGTTTGTTTCCATACCACTAAAGAAAATAGTACATTTTACTCAATTTAAACAAAACAGAATAACTCTTTAATATCATTTGTATCAATGACACAATATATACATGCACAGTTCTTCCAGAGACCGTACAAAATTTTGCTTTGTATTTTTTTAATTTAAATAAATATATTGCTCACTAAATAGAATTTATTAGAATTTAATTCTATTTAGTAAATTTAATTCTAGACCTTGTCTTTGCAAACTGTGTTAAAAGTCACCATAATACAAATGCCATATTCTGATCATTGAAGCCATTTTGAGGATATAAAATTCTATCTGGTATTTTATTATTGTTGTTGTTTTTCTTTGTTTTTAAAGGTTGGTCTGATTCCAAATTCAGACCAGTTTTAGTTTTTAGTTTTTCAAGAACCCCTATCTGGGTGCAGGAAAAGAAGAAAGAAAGGAAGAAATATATTTGTTTTTAAATTATAGATATAATGTGTATAAGACCCTGGCATCTTAAGTCTAAGAAAACAAAGTTCCTGGTGCATCATGGACACTTAGCAAATACTACTTCTCTTTTTTAAAGTTTACATTTGCCAGATACTACTTGCTAACAGTAGGATGTAGTTAAGAGCACGAACTTTGGAGACATACACCAGCTATGTTTATTAACTTCACTGAGATTCGAGCATCAGTGGTAAAAAGACCCATCTCACAAGGCTCCTGAGCCTGGCACATGGGATAATAGTACCTGTTATGATTATTCACATGTTCAGGAACTATGAATATTCTGTGATAGTCTGTGAAAAGGTTTATCACAGGTGTGGGCATTGAAAAACCCCCATTGGCTTTAACCAATGCTTTAGTCATTGGCTTTATTCAATGCTTTTAGTTTATGAAGGTAGACTTTGCTTTATCCCCTTTATGTCTGTTCCCAGCCTGGCTGCTCTACCTAAAATGATCTTTCTGGTGTTCCTGGCTGTTGTAATTTTACTTGTTTTTCTATTTAAGCCTAGTTACCTCTATCATGAAACTTTCCTTTCTTCTCCCCACTGGACACACACAGTGAAGTTCTCTCTCATGCCTTTGAACTTTCCCTTCTAGGATGAGAACTCCTAGGGAGCAGGAGCCTTATCTTTATAATCTTTGTGACTCCTGAAATTCCCAGCACGATGCATTCTACAACTTGTCCAAGTTTTGTCATAAGTAATAAATAAATCATTGGTGATTCCCTTTTTCTTCTTTTGGGTAATTTTTGGCCTGATTGATCTGTTTTGGGACTTTTCAACATCACCACGGAATGAAGGTATTGAGTCAATGACAATGTGGTTTTTAAAAGAAATGAGTTGGTTTTTCACTTTTTTTTTTTTTAAAAAAAGGTGCTATAATAGAAGCACTTAATAATTAGGTTTAAAGTGATTTTGCTTTTATTTTCATTCCATATATTTCTAAGAAACTTTATAGCTACAGTACTCATCTAATGATAAGATGCATTTTTATGAATTATTATTCAAATTCTGTTTACAGTAGAGGGTTTAAGATTTGTGCCGAATTTATGAAACCAACATGTGAAAAGAAATTTCCTAAAACTTTAGTCTGAAAGATGGTGGGTGGTTATTACATTAGACTTGGATGTATTTAAGGCAAATTCTTTATTAGAGAAAATTGGAAAGAACCACATTATGGACCTCCGTGAGTAGCAGATAATATACAGAGCTGTGGTGAGCACTAACACTTCATCATCATCAACCAGGAACAATATCAAGTACCATTTGTGCTTTATCAACTTTTGTTTACCATGGAAAAGTATATTCAGTATCAAGTTTGTTTTTCTGCCGTATTGAAAGAAAATGCAGGAAACTAGAAATTGCTATATATTCAGCAAGCAGCTGTTCCTTTTATTTTTGTTTAGAAAGGCAAGTATTTCATAAATAAGAACAATAATTACTACTCTGAAATTGAGGTTTAATACAGTTTCTTTTCATTTACCACATCTGACTAAAGACTAACAGGATGTTCTCTATCTGTGAATAACAATGGGGGGGGTAACTTATATTACAAATGGTCTGAGTAACTAGGACAACTACTATGTAGGTGTCATGTATATCCAGACTGCAGGGAAAGGTTATCATTTTACTTACTCTTCTGTATACATATGGAAAATTTAGCATTAAATTGATCATCCTTACATTGTATATAATTATGTCTTAAGAAGTTTGTATGTTTGAGAGCGCAAGTATCCTTATGAAAAATAATCCTTGATTCTTTTTTCTAAAGGAACTTGTGGAGTACTACAAGCATCATTCTCTTAAAGAAGGGTTCAGAACTTTAGATACAACTCTACAATTTCCATATAAGGAGCCAGAACATTCAGCTGGACAGAGGGGTAACAGAGCAGGCAATAGCTGTGAGTATTAAAATTGAGAATAAGACTTGCTGTCACTTAAGGATTGGAGGCATAATGACATTAAACATCTTCAGTCCAGATTTTGAAAGATAACCAATGAATATGCTAATGTATCGAGCAAGGACTTTTTCTGGAGCTATGCAGAATCAGATGGGCCAACAGGTTTATGAACATATCTTATTAAAGATCTTTGTGCCAAATTAAAAATTATGTTTGTATTCGAAAACCCATCAGAGATATAAAGGGTATGTTAATATGTAAATTTTGTACTTTTCATTTGACTTTTATATTAACCAAATTTCTTTTAACTTACACATAATGTTCACGGTCATAATGGTATTTGAATAACAGTATTTAAGAAGGGCTGGTACACAGCTCTGCCAGTTAGCCCTGTATCTCAAATCTGTTTATGAGTCTATTTCATTGACTATATTTAGAATTTTGAAGTGACTAACATGTTTTCTTGGATGCCGGTATTTCTAAAACTATACATTTGTTATTTTCTTTTAGAATGAGCACTGTGCCAAAACTAATTACAAAAGATTAGCACGGGAACAAAAGCATATTATACTTTGAGTATGAGTCCAAGTCAAAAACTTTTTTCCCTCATCATTTCATGTTACATAATCTTCCAAGAGATAGATGTAGCATATGAAGAGAACATTGTGATAGAAAATGTTCTGAAGAATCTGTGATTTCATTCCCCTATTTTGATATCATTTTTTAAAAAAACTCTTAGGGGAGAAATGAATACAATTTTATTACTCTTAGAATCTGTAGCCTATGCAAAACTGTAATATCTAGAGGTATTTGAAGAAATAATTTGCATTTGTTTAATATAACTTTATTTTTTTCCCCCTAAAAGCAGAAACTAAAAGGGAAACAGGTAATGCTAAGGATCCCAACAACATCAGTAAAACTTCATACACTGTAATATAAGTAAATAAACATGTAATTTTTCCCATCAATTGACAGGCTTTTTTTTTTGCTTTGAATGACTTAAGAGCTGTTCTCCTCACAGTCATCAGTGATAGACTCCTAAGTGTGTGCAGTGAAAGTAGCAAGAGCACATTTATGTTAAAACTTTAAACACCTATTAAATTTTATCTTTGTATTTCTGTAGCCCAATATTACCTAATTATCTTAGATTCTCATATAGGAATAATTTTTGCTCATACAAAAAGTATGAGCAAAATGGAAGTTTTCCCTAAAAAACAATTCTACAAATTTCTTAAAAGTCTATCAGAGTTATGACTTTTCCCCCAACATGAAACATATAATTTTCAACTCTCTTTGCCTTTGCCTTCCCAGCAGCAAGAGATAATAAGAGTCTTCAGGGAGGTTGGTTATATGAAAGATCCTATTTGAGTTGTTCACTTAGTTCTAGAGAACCTAGAAGGGACGAGTGGACAAACAGGGAGGACAGATGTCCCACGTTAGGTAGGAAGGTCACTAACCCTCATATTTCACTGTGTAGTTTACTCCCTGGCACTTCCTCAGCACATGTGGGGGCTCAGAGAATGTTGTCCAGCAATGAATGCAGTTGCGTAACTTAAAATTTGTCCCTAGTGTTTAATGAAGTACTTAATACTTTAAACTTGTTTAGCAACTAGAAAGGGAATTAAAGGCTTTTTTTTGTTAGTTCGTTTTAAGCATAGCAAAAAGAATGACTTTGAATATCCATGCTGGCTCAGGGAAATTTTTCAACCAGTGGGGCCATGAGTTCAAACTTCCCTGCACAATCTTTTTAAGAGATTCTGGCAGCTTTAGTCAAGCCACTGAAACCTTTTTGTATTTAAGAAGGAAAAGCAAATCATTCATTTTAAAATTTAGCCTTTGTTATAGTTTGACTTTGTCAGTTTATTCATTTGTTCAGCAGATATATATATTAAACACATACAAGGCACTGTTCTGGTCCTGGGATATAGCAATTAAGAAGACAAAGTCCTTGTCTTTAAGATGAAATGTACATTTCAAAAGGGAGACTCAGGCATGTCTGGGTTAGAGGAGTTTGATATTTTTGTGCAGAGTCATCAGGGAAGATGTCTTATAAAGTGGCTGGAAAGAAGTGAGGGAGTTAGTTAGTAGGTCAGATGGTTAGCAATGATTGCACAATGGGTAACGTTCAAAGATGATTCATAACAAAAAGGGATTATAATCTTAGATCAAATTTATGATAATATCCCAATGTTTTATTTACTTTATACTAACTTTGTGTAAAATGAAAGGAACACTAAGATGGTTCTAAGGACTAAATAAGGTGCTCCCTATGAAGCACTTAGCTTAGTGTTCATGCATGGGAAACACCCCATCAAAATTACTACTGATGCTCTCACTTCTCCTTCCTCTACTGCTGCTGCTGCTGCTGCTGCTACCTCTTCTAACACAGCCAACGCTTCCCTATATTTTTAAAGCTTGAATAAATTTATAAATTACAGCTCTTATAGAAATTATATCTTTGCTTTTATGATTTTTAAATATAATTTGCTTATTTTATACCAAGTCTTGATTAAGAGTTAACCCTTAATGAAAACACTGCTTCTATTTTTATGCATTTTGTACTTCACAGAAAATACTAAGGAGGAAATGCTACTTGTTCTGTTTAGAAAGATTGTGCAGGATGTCTTTATAGTTCTTACCTCTGATTTATAGCTTTAGGTGTGCTGCTAAGTATCGTCTAAAAATAACTTTTACCTGGCAGTATCACCCTGGATACTGGATTAGACAGAGCACTGGCATCTCCATTACTGTTAAAAGGCCTTGGAGGATGCAGAGCAGGCCAGGTAAAGCTCAGGACCATCTTTGTGTTCTGGGTAGAGGTTGAGAATGGAACTTTAATCTGAAACCTACTGGTTATTGTTATTTTTAAACAATATTGTCACCTTGGAAAAGACAGTCCCAGGGTATTGTGGAGGCTGCTTGCTTCTGGGCTACCAGCTATTTTTCAAGACTGTACAATATGATAAGGTTATGACAGAACTACTTTGTGCAGATGCAAAATAACATGTAAAAAGATAATGATTGGAATTAAGCAAGATTCCAAAGTATTAAGCAAGTAGCGTAACGTTTCTAGGTTAGAAGCCTAGTAATGTCGTCTAGGTTGTCTTTCAGGCTGTCTCCAGGATGATGGGGTTTTCTCTTTGTCTTTAGAATGACTTAAGAGTGTTTCCAAGAGAAGAGAAAGAGAATGTAGGGAGAACTCAGGTGTAGTCGTGGGCGCTTGAGCTTCCTCTAGAAACTACAGTGGCTCCATGGAAGATACTCTATGGATCTGTGTAAGAATTCTGTTATTTTCCAAAGTGGTCATAGCAAACCTGCCTTAGATTGCTTTCAGTATACCTGTAGGGCTTGTATATTTGAAGGGCATTAAATTGACTTTTGCCTTTCTTGCTCTACAATGAACACTTAATTATTTTCAGGTCTGCCCCTGTGCAGCTATCTGACCTTAAGCGAGTCACTTAGCCTGTCTAGGTCTCATCTTTCTCATCTGATGAATGAGAAATGAGATTAGAGATTCTTTTAGTTCTTTTAAAAATAGCATCTTAAGTTTCTTTCGTTGTATGCATGAGAAAAGGAGGTTAGGTAGAATGTTAATAGATCATTATACTAGGAAAAGTTGCACAATTAGCTATTTTGTGACTCATAAGGCAGACCTTAAACATTTTCCCAATTTTTTATTTATGGGGAATTAATTGGGCCACAGAGTAGAGTTGGGTAATTTTTACTTTTAGCAGTCATGATATTTATATATCAAAGTATTTTCCACAAGAACTTACTAATTACAAAAGAAAAAATAGTAATAACTAAACCAAGTGATCAAAGTTAACATCCCTAGTAATAGGGCAGATAGATACCATGTACCTCCTGCTGTAATGCTCTAAGAAGGCCATACCACCACTTTGGTGGTAGTCCAGTCTCCAAAATGCATAATTTGAATCCAATCATTAGGAAACATTGGACAAACTCCAATTAAAAGACATTATGGGCCGGGCGCGGTGGCTCACGCCTGTAATCCTAGCTCTTGGGAGGCCGAGGCGGGCGGATTGCTCAAGGTCAGGAGTTCAAAACCAGCCTGAGCAAGAGCGAGACCCCGTCTCTACTATAAATAGAAAGAAATTAATTGGCCAACTGATATATATATATATAAAATTAGCCGGGCATGGTGGCGCATGCCTGTAGTCCCAGCTACTCGGGAGGCTGAGGCAGAAGGATCGCTCGAGCCCAGGAGTTTGAGGTTGCTGTGAGCTAGGCTGACGCCACGGCACTCACTCTAGCCTGGGCAACAAAGCGAGACTCAAAAAAAAAAAAAAAAAAGACATTATGCAAAATAATTGGTTTATACTCTTTAAAAATGTCAAGGTCATTAAAGACAAAGAAAGATTGAGGAACTGTTTCAGATTCAAGGTGACCAAAGAGTAGGACAACTACATGTAACATGTGATCTTGGATTGAATCTTGGAATAGGGTGAGAAAAAAATATATATATATGTGTATACACATGTATGTATATGTATATATAGTAACATTTTTTATATATTATAAAATATCTATATATGTTGCTATAAAGATGTGAGTGGGGCAATTAGCAAATTTTGAATAAATTTTCTAGATTGAGTAATAGTACTGTATCAATGCAACTTTCTGCTACTGAATGATTATATAAGAGAATACCTTTGTTTTTAGAAAACACATACTGAAGTATTTATCAGTAAAGGGGATTGTGTCTGCAATTTATTCTCTAATAGTTCAGAAAAAACACAGATTAATAAAGTAGACATCATAAAATGTTAACATTTGGGGAGTCTGAATGAAAAGTGTATGGGAATTCTTTGTGCTGTTCTTGCTACTTTAATTCTGAAATATTCCAGACTAAAAAGTTTTAAAATGTGGATACCCATTTTCTGGCTATGTCTAAAGAATTGGACATCCTCCTTTCATCTGCTCCAGGTGTAAGGGGGCTTGGTCCACCGATCTCAGGGCAATGCACGGCACTAGGGTAT